CACCCGGCGACCAGGTCGAACGGCGGGGCGTCGGCGCGCAGGCCTCCGTCGCGGGCCCGGACGCCTGGCGGTCTCTCAAGACGCTCCAGGCGATGGGTGCCCCTCCCTCAACTCGGAGGGCCGAGCTGTAGCAACCAGCAAGCCCTCGGCCCGCGAGGGAAGACGGGAGGAGAGGCGAGGAAGAGGAGGAGGAGGAGAACCAGTGTGAACCTGAGACCCATCAACGATGATGCAATAAACCCTCCCTCCAAGCTCTCTCCTCATGGACTCCTATAAAGACTTGTTTTCACTGCGAGAAACCCGTTGGAAGACAACCGTCTGAAAGTCTCCAACCGTGCCAAAGCATCATTCCTGGGACCTCAACGCCGTGAATCAACGTGGCTGTTGCGACCTGGCGATCCGAAATCATGCCAGAACACCGTTTCTGCGACGTCAACGCTGCGAATCAACGTGATTGCCGCGCCCTGGCAATTCTCGACCGTGCCAAAACACAATATTTGAGGCGTCAACCAGCAACATCCTTGAAGTTTGTGTAAACTGTTCAAACGCATGCGCGCGGCGCTGAGGCGAGAGCCACATGTTGAAAACGGTCGGCCCTCCATCCGTGAAGTTCTTGCAAACTTTTACGAGTAATGTGCACGGCGCCCATGCGAGAACCACATTTTGGAAACCACCCGCCCTCCATCCGTGATAGTGAATTCTTTGCCAAAACAACAAGGCCAGCATGTCTGTAGGATACGGCAGCGCGCTGGATATCGTGAGCCGATCGGATAACACTTCTCGAACACAGGCTGACAATTGACAAAGGCCACAGGCTGCGGTCGTCCAGACCGCCCGAGGCACGAGGGAAAAAAGAGGGAGGTGGAGGGGGCGAGGACGGCAGCTCGAGCAGCCAGAAAGAGCCCGGGTGAGGACATAATGAAGACATAAAACGTGAGCCAATTTAGGCTCGTAGATCTCTCGGCGGCAGGATGCCGCCACACAGTGCCTTTGGGATGTGTGGCCCGAATTGAGGCTAACAGTTGAGCAGAATGCCAATCCAGCTGGCGGCGCTCTTATTCCGGCCGAAGGGCGGGCCGACAAAGAAACGCGGACCAGGGACGAAACGGGGACGGGCCGGAAAGCGAGGAGCCGAGGAGCGAGAAGGGGAAGAGGCGAGGAAGGGACGACGACAGGAAAGGACAGACTGGGCCGACGGACAGAGGGACGGGAGACGGAGAGAGGCAGCCTGGCAGGGAGAGAGAGAGGGAGAGGACACGGCACACCAGGGGGAGGACACACGAGGGCGAGAGGGGGAGGACACGGAGAGAGGGAGGGGGGAGGGAGGGAAGCAAGGAGCCAGAGGCAGGGCAGGCAGGAGGGACACACAGGGACAGCGGGCAAGGGGGGCACGGGCCCAGCACGGCGGGCAGCGGGTGAGACGGAATCGGCTCATCTCGTACTACAGCGCACGCGGCTGTGAGACTGGAGAGGGGAGAGGAGGAGGAGGAGGAGAAAAATGTACATTCACTGCCACAGCGGCGGCACGTGGCCAGGCGACCAACCGCCTACCTCCACGCCCGGGGCGAGATCGTGGAGGCGTCGCAAAATGGCCCGCGCGTTTTCCCTGTGAAGGGAACGTGACAATCGCTGGGCTATTCGCAAGCTCTCCCCCTCCGCCTCCCCGCGCCAGCAGGCGCTCGCGTGCTTGGCAATCGTGTCCAAGGTCTGCCGTGCCGTCTTCCCCCAGCCGCCGCTGTGGGATTCGATCACCATCGGTACAAAGACAGGCCTGCGCCCGTGCACAGTTCCTCTGTTGTGGCGGTCTCTCCAGGGGCCTTAAAAGACCTCTTGAAGTCCTCGTATGCGCCCAGGACAGACTCTGGGTTCGTCGCAGCGTCTCGCAGCACATCTGCGCGCAGACCCGACGTGCAAGCGAAGTCCAGGGCAGCAGGTGTCCCGCCCAGAGCTCGGGGGAAGAAGACATCGGCAGGGCGTCTCCGGGACCTTGCAACGCTCGGGGCCTCCCCTCCGCCACTGCGGGGAGGCGTGCCGTCGCCCCGCGGGCGTTCCGGGAGCAGACCGGGCTTCTCCCTCTCAGGGCCCATCTGACCCTTTAGTGCGTCTTCGAACACCGAGTCCCGCAAGCGATTGTGGCGGACCGTGCGGTCACCGCTGCATGGACACACGAGGGCATGATCGCCGAAGCTGTCCATGGTGCCGCCGCACATAGGGCAGAACATGTCGGCATCCTGCACGCGGATCCGCAGCCTGCGCTTGAGAGCCATCTTGAACAGAGCGGGCTCTATGGTTCGCGCGGCGTCCGCTGGCGGCGCGGTCAGCCACGCCCCAGCCCCGCATAGCTGCTGGAGGGACAGGTGGGCCGCGTAAGAAACGTCGGCGGAGCTGTCGCGCCTCAGGTCCTGCTCCCGCTTAGCGTCCACCAGGGCCGACATCGCCTTTTGACTTTGCCCAAGAGGGGCAGCGGCCTCGGGCGAAATGCGTCCGGCGTGCGCCCGTTTCGCTGCGCCCCGATGCAAGTGGCCAGCCGTGTCGTCAGGGTCGAAGCCAGCGTCAATGGACGCGCACGTCGCCCCCGTGGCGCGCAGAGACGCCAAGTACGCGGCAGCCGCGTGGGCGTCGGCACCTCTGAGACCGAGGCCGCCCCGCTGGATTCCCAGCGTGGCTTGCATCGACTCGCGGTCTCCAATATCGGCGCCGAGCACTTCCTTGAGGGCCGCCCGGTGGTTCGCCGTGAACTCCTGCAAGACGCTGTCGTGCAGCTCCGGCGGCACCGTCCGCATTGAGTATACGAGCTTAGCGTACGAGGCGCACTGGCGGATGAGATGGAGCGCCGCCTGGGCGTCTTGCAATTTTGACACCTCCCGCAGAAGCACCCCCGCCTTGCGTGCCCTCTTCTGCGTGTGGCTTGCGCAAAATGGCTTGCGTGATAGTGTTGGATCCTGTTAGGACGAATGTGCGTGGATCTGAGGCGAGAGCCCTTTTTGGGAAAGGAATCGCTCTCTATCCCTGCAACTCTTGCAACCTTTTAAGATGAATGCGTGCGGCGCTTTGGCGAGAGCTACATTTTGAAAACGACCCGCCATCCATGTGTGAAATTTCCTGCAAACTTCAGCCCGGAGGATCGTAAATGGTGAGTAGTTCTCAGGCGAAACGCCCAGCCCGCCATGCCGACCCGTCTCGGGGCGCGACAGGGAGGATTCATTTACAAGGAAGAGGGATGGAGCAGGAACGGTAGCAGGAGCAGGAGGAGGACTCCCCCATGCGCCCCCTCTCCGGCGCACCGTTTACCCTGCTTCCCAGCGCCCGCCCTCCTTCCCAGCGGCCGCCCCCCTCCTCGGCGGCCTCCTCGGTGCCCTCTCCCCCCTCTTTTCCCCATTCCCGCTCTTCTTTCCCCCCCGCCTCTCCCTCCCCCCTCCCGCTATCCCTCTCCCTTTGCTCTCATTCCCTCCCAGTCCCTCCCTCTCCCTCCCTCCCCCCCCCGCTCTCACCCCTCCATCCCGGTCTTCTCTCCCCCTGTCTTACACTTTCTCCCCACTCCCCCCTCCCTTCCTCCTCAAACCTTCCCCTCCCCTCCCTATGTCTGCTCAACCACAGCATGTTATGAGGCTGCGGCCTCTACGCTATGCCCTGGCCCTGCTGGGCACGCGCGGGCTGTCAAGTGGGACGCGTGCAAAATGACGCGTCTGTCTCGTCTCGGCTCCGCCCTCCCTCTTCATCTCCCTCTGCCTCTCTCCATCCCTAGCCTCTCTCCCCCTCTCCCCTTTCCCCGTCTATTCAGGTGGGCCGCCTCACGAACTGTGGGGCATATTCATGTACGCGACTGGGCGCAACTGTTTTTGTTCGGGCTCCCAATTCCCACTTCCCATCTCCCTTCTCCCCTCCACAAATACACAATATGAATACTGCTCTCTCACCCCCGGTGACGTCCTGGAAATATTCGGCCCCCCTCCGCGTATAGGTTTTTTTGCACAATTCCCCGGAGTGTGGTTTTCGCTTGGGTTTGTTTCAAATCTGAAGCGCTGGCTTCATTTTCGGGTTACCGCTCGTTCCGAATCGTGCTCCCACTGCAGCGTTGGCCTCATTTCCGCGCTTCGCTCGTTCCGAGTCGTGCTCCCGCTGCAGCGATGGCGTCATTATTTCCAGCGCCATGCCACGGCATGATTTTCGGTCCTCCCAGATCGGCCCCAACATCTAGAAAATGCCCCAACCATCGGAAATGATTACACATTCGGTGCCGATTCGTTGATTTTTGGGGCGGCAGAAGCCCCCACCTCACTTCGGGGCGTCGCCACGCCATGCTATGTCAAGCTACGCGTCGATCTTCAACACCATGCTATGCCATGTAATGCTATGCCCCGCTACGACATCCGACAGTGCGAATAGAGAGGAGATCTACGCCATGGCAAGGGATTGGAGGGAAGGATAGGACGGGTAGGACGTCGGATATGACGCGAGCGCACCTAGCTTGCCCGATCCCCCCTCCTTCCCCCTCCCTCCACGATTATTCAGCCACGAGTACTGCTCTCCTTTCTCCCCTGACAATGTCCACCAGTGCTACCGCCTCTCTTCGCGTACTTGTTCTACACAGAATTTCCTAATTTTATGTGTCATGCTTGTTTCAATCGGAACGTCTTTGGTCCTTCAAATGGTTATCCCACTGCGTCGTTGGAAGTATTCGTTCCCGTCGTCAGATTGGCGCTCTCGCTCCAGCGCGTGCCAGAGTTCGATGCCTTCCTCGTTTTTGTCATCCTCCTCCTCATCTCCCCCGCCTACGTATCACATGTTTGAGGCCACGGCCTCCACGCCATGCCCTAATGGGCACGGGCGGGCTCCCCGGAGGAGCGCGCACGATTCTGGCGTTCGCTTCGTTTCCTCCGCATTGATCTTGTCGTCTTGCTTCTCACAGTACTGTTGCTCCTGACTCTGCTTTTTCCTCCGCCTCCTCCTCGTTCTCCTCCTCCTGCTCCTGCTCCTGCTCCTGCTGCTCCTCCTCCTCCTCCGCAGCCATTTTGGCTCGAGCCATTTGGTGCTTGACAGGCGGCGGCGCACCCCAGGCGGGACTTTCGGCATGGCGCCGACCGATGTGTTCGCTGCTTCGATTGCGGCCCAGGTGGCGTTCGACACGGCCATGGCAGTCATGGAGTTCGGGGTCACCCCCAAGCAGCAGGCGACGCTGCTGGCGGCGGTGGCGCGTGGCGCGGCCTGTGGAACCCCTGCGCAGGCCGCTGGTGCGGGCGCCTCGGCCTTCGAGGTCGTCCAGGAGGTCGTCGACCTGGTCAAGGAGGGGCTGGGCGGCGACCGCATGGTCCGCATCGCCAAGGAGAAGCTGCGAGAGCAGGGGTCGGAGGGTGTCGCCTTGGCCCGGAGGATCGGGCGCGCCACCAAGGCGCGCAGCTCGAGCGCGCACTCGGACGAGCGCATCGTCGTGCGCGACGCGGCGAAGGCGGCGAAGAACGGTTCCGCGAGAGGTTGCGAGTCCTTGTCGACTGTGGAGGCGGACTTGTCGGAGAAGGCCAACGACTGCTCGAAGGAGGCCGCCGTGGGCAAGTTCGTGGAGCGCGAGCTGGCCGACAAGGCTTTCTCGTTGAAGCCAGTGGCGCTGAGGGAGAGAGAGAGAGAGAGATGATCAAGGAGGACATCAAGTGCGACCCAGACGCCAAGGCCAACCTGGTGGTTGAGGATTTGGTGTCGGACGTGCGCGATGGTGGCGTGATGGTCCTGGATAACTCTCGGTTCCACAAAGGGGAGGCCAACAACGGTTCCGAGCAGATGGGGGGGCCCACGAAAAGGACTCCAAGGGCGACACTCACTGCAAGGCCACCGACGAGGTGAGGAAACGGGTCTCGGCCATCAGCGTCGGAGACGAGCTGGCCCTGGTGAGCACTCGGTTCCGGAGGAGACCAAGAGCGACCTCAATATAGCCGTGCTGCAAGCGAAGGCGGACTTCGACGGTGATGCTTTCCTGGCCCAGGGTTCATGGATAATTGGAGCGACAGGGGTTTGTACATGGGCGACGTGGTCACCATGCTGGAGCGCGACGGCGTCGAGTTCGAATTGGCGGCCAGATTCATGATCTCCGAGCGCTTCCGCGACTTGTACGACGTGTCGGCGAGTGGCTGCTCCGCGCGCTGAGGTGAAGGCCCTCGCTCTGTCTGCTGGGTCCGCCACGAATGGCGGCTGGAGCACGCGCTGGCGCGCGTTCCCGTGTCCCCTCCTTGGGGGCGGCCTCTGGGGGCCGTCTGATCGCCCGCCCGTCCCCGCGGGGGCGGCTTCCGTTCCCTTGGCTTGCCCGCGGGGCAGGCCAGGGTCGCGACGAATGCCTGTCTGGGTTTCTTCGAGGCCCGTCCTTCGTCGCCGCGGCGCCCGCGGTCGCGCGCGTGCGGCGGCGAGGGGCTCTCTTCTTGGCGTCTGGAGCCGTGGTGGCCCTGGTGGGTGTCGGCGCGCTAACGGCCGCCAGGGCCTTTTTGATGACGTCCCATCCATCCATCCTCCTCCTCCTGTTCACCCGCCCTATCCGCTCCCCCCTCCAGCGCGATTGCAAGGCTCTCCGTTCGATTGCTCGGCGGGCGATGGATCACATCTTGCAATTGCCACTTGGGGAGACCATGGTCTTCCAGGACGCCCCATTCGGCGAATTGAACAGGATCCAGCGCAATTGGATGGGATGGGCGGCAGGGGAATGATGTCAGATGTGGCGCGCGCGCCTGGCTTCCCCCCGAGCCCTTTTCTTTCCCATTTCCCCCCGTTCCCCTCCCGCCCCCCTTCCTCTCCGCCCCCTACCACTCCTTCCCCCTCCTTCCCATTACATGCTTCTTCGAGGAATGCCGAGCTCGCAGCCAGCCAAAAATAACAAGTGGGTGATTTCCTGCCTTTCCATCCGGAAGCAAGCCAGCACCACGCTGGTGGGCCGACAAGCTCCGAGATTTCGCCACGCCCAATGAGTATACCTTCGACGTAGTCGTAGTCGAAGTGTCCCGAAGTCCCCTCCTTTCTCCCCTTTCCTTTCTCGCACCAGCCCGCCGCCCTTCCTTCGGGCCCAGCGCGCGCGCGCTCTTCCACCCCCCGCTGGCAGGTTTGGGCCGCGCTCCCCAGAGGCATTCAGGCGCGGGCGCGGCGGAGGGGGGTGGGCGGGTGAGACCGAGGGGCCAACGCCAATGGGGGCCAGCCGATCCTTTCTAATTTTCTCTGCCCGACGCAGCCTTGGGAGCCGTGTGGAGCCGACCTCGGGGGAACATTCCTCTGGGGCGTCCAAAATGGGATTGAGAATAAAAAGGCGTGATATTTCGGTCGGGGCGCCAGGCCCATGAAGTCTCATAGATTTTGTGCCCCCCTCTTCTTCTTTAAATCCGTTTCCTGGCCGTCCCTCGTCGTCTGCGCAAATGCTTCGGGCCATCATATTTTGTATGTTCATACGCCATATCCGTCGATAACTTTTGACTTTAGCTCGTTCCCTATGCCCATGGGGGGGCCTGTCAACCAGTTCTCAGCGCTGTGAAG